GTCTCTGGTGACCGAGTTGACTCGGAGTGTCAACTCGGTCTCTGGTGACCGAGTTGACTCGGAGTGTCAACTCGGTCTTTGGTGACTCGGAGTGTCAACTCGGTCTCTGGTGGCCGAGTTGACTCGGAGTGTCAACTCGGTCTCTGGTGACTCGGAGTGTCAACTCGGAGTGTCAACTCGGTCTCTGGTGACTCGGAGTGTCGACTCGGTCTCTGGTGACTGAGTTGACTCGGAGTGTCAACTCGGTCTCTGGTGACTCGGAGTGTCAACTTGGAGTGTCAACTCGGTCTCTGGTGACTCGGAGTGTCAACTCAGTCTCTGGTGACCGAGTTGACTCGGAGTGTCAACTCGGTCTCTGGTGACTCGGAGTGTCAACTCGGTCTCTGGTGACCGAGTTGACTCGGAGTGTCAACTCGGTCTCTGGTGACTCGGAGTGTCAACTCGGTCTCTGGTGACCGAGTTGACTCGGAGTGTCAACTCGGTCTCTGGTGACTCGGAGTGTCAACTCGGTCTCTGGTGACTCGGAGTGTCAACTCGGTCTCTGGTAACCGAGTTGACTCGGAGTGTCAACTCGGTCTCTGGTGACTCGGAGTGTCAACTCGGTCTCTGGTCACTCGGAGTGTCAACTCGGTCTCTGGTGACCGAGTTGACTCGGAGTGTCAACTCGGTCTCTGGTGACTCGGAGTGTCAACTCGGTCTCTGGTGACTCGGAGTGTCAACTCGGTCTCTGGTGACCGAGTTGACTCGGAGTGTCAACTCGGTCTCTGGTGACCGAGTTGACTCGGAGTGTCAACTCGGTCTTTGGTGACTCGGAGTGTCAACTCGGTCTCTGGTGGCCGAGTTGACTCGGAGTGTCAACTCGGTCTCTGGTGACTCGGAGTGTCAACTCGGAGTGTCAACTCGGTCTCTGGTGACTCGGAGTGTCGACTCGGTCTCTGGTGACTGAGTTGACTCGGAGTGTCAACTCGGTCTCTGGTGACTCGGAGTGTCAACTTGGAGTGTCAACTCGGTCTCTGGTGACTCGGAGTGTCAACTCAGTCTCTGGTGACCGAGTTGACTCGGAGTGTCAACTCGGTCTCTGGTGACTCGGAGTGTCAACTCGGTCTCTGGTGACCGAGTTGACTCGGAGTGTCAACTCGGTCTCTGGTGACTCGGAGTGTCAGAGACCGAGTTGACTCGGAGTGTCAACTCGGTCTCTGGTGACTCGGAGTGTCAACTCGGTCTCTGGTGACTCGGAGTGTCAACTCGGTCTCTGGTGACCGAGTTGACTCGGAGTGTCAACTCGGTCTCTGGTTACTCGGAGTGTCAACTCGGTCTCTGGTGACCGAGTTGACTCGGAGTGTCAACTCGGTCTCTGGTGACTCGGAGTGTCAACTCGGAGTGTCAACTCGGTCTCTGGTGACTCGGAGTGTCAACTCGGTCTCTGGTGACCGAGTTGACTCGGAGTGTCAACTCGGTCTCTGGTGACTCGGAGTGTCAACTCGGTCTCTGGTGACCGAGTTGACTCGGAGTGTCAACTCGGTCTCTGGTGACTCGGAGTGTCAACTCGGAGTGTCAACTCGGGCTCTGGTGACTCGGAGTGTCAACTCGGTCTCTGGTGACCGAGTTGACTCGGAGTGTCAACTCGGTCTCTGGTGACTCGGAGTGTCAACTCGGAGTGTCAACTCGGTCTCTGGTGACTCGGAGTGTCAACTCGGTCTCTGGTGACCGAGTTGACTCGGAGTGTCAACTCGGTCTCTGGTGACTCGGAGTGTCAACTCGGTCTCTGGCGACCAAGTCGACTCGGAGTATCAACTCGGTCTCTGGTGACTCGGAGTGTCAACTCGGTCTCTGGTGACTCGGAGTGCCAACTCGGTCTCTGGCGACTCGGAGAGTCAACTCGGTCACCAGAGACCGAGTCGACTCGGAGTGTCAACTCGGTCTCTGGTGACCGAGTCGACTCGGAGTGTCAACTCGGTCTCTGGTGACTCGGAGTGTCAACTCGGTCTCTGGCGACCGAGTCGACTCGGAGTGTCGACTCGGTCTCTGGCGACTCAGAGTGTCGACTCGGTCTCTGGCGACCGAGTTGACTCGGAGTGTCAACTCGGTCTCTGGCGACTCGGAGTGTCAACTCGGTCTCTGGCGATCGAGTTGACACTCGGAGTGTCAACTCGGTCTCTGGCGACTCGGAGTGTCAACTCGGTCTCCGGCGACCGAGTCGACACTTCGGAGTGTCACGAGCGGGGACCGCATCAGCCGAGGGGGGAGGCGGTTGCGGCGTCGTTCCTCCTTCTCCCCCCGGCCCCCTGCACCTCTCCCCGGCACTCCCTCGGCACCCACCCAGCCTCGTGTCTCCCCCTGAGCGAGACGCCTCGCCCCCAAATGCGAGGGCGTGCGGATGGAGGAGGAGGAATACCGTGGGGGGGTGGTGGTCCTAGGTGGTGGTGGAGACAGGGAGCCCTACCGTGTGGTACCAATAAGGTGTTAGACCACAGGATGCCAAAAGGCTAAAAAGAAAGCTGTCTCTGGTATGTACCAATCAGTTTCAAGGACAATGCGTCATATTATCAGGGTATGTTTTTTCTTTGCATTCTGACCACAAGCATTGTGGTTAATGCAGACTTGATTCCTTGTTAAAGGTTTCAGTTTAGTGTTTTAACATCTTAACACCTGTTTTGTTGCCAGAAAAAATGGGAAAACCTATTCTCAAGTCTTGAATAGTAGTACTTTGAATTTCTGGGGCACACAAGTGTAAAACAATAATATCGGTTAAATTGTTAGAATTCAGAGATGCACGGTGACCCAGTTGCTGGCGAATGCTATCAGATGTTTGTGATAACGAATGAGGGTCTCTGTGGCTGAACAGCTTTCAATGATAATTTATGGGTCTCTATGTGAGTCTATAGGTGCGCTATGTACACGTGTGTTGAATTTCTTTCACGCTGTACATAGCCAACCGTGCAGTTATAAAGAAATGAGTTTTCAACCTATATTTAAAAGTGCGTATCTCCAGTGGCTTCCTAATGTCGGAAGGAAGAGCGTTCCAGACGGCCGCAGAAGCGCATCTGAAAGTGCGCGGTGTTCGATGGCTAAAGCCAAAAGCCGCTGCTGCGAGGATGAGCGGAGTGTCGCGTGATGATGGTGGTATGCTTCTTGACGAGATCAGCGAGGTATTGTGGTTCATTTGTGGCAAGCACTTTGTGTGTAATGATTGTGACTTTAGAATATAATCGGAAGCCAATACAGCTCTGTGAGCACTGCATGGACATGGATCTCTCTGAGTCTCTCAAAGATCTGCACAGACAGGTTCATGAATCCACGTGCTGGAACAACTAACGCCTCTCCAGGCCACCGCATAACTGAGCAGAGGTATGGAAGTCTAATAAATCTTTGTGGACTGCCAAAACCCTTGCCAGCAAATCAGCGGATTTAGCGTTGTGTGCGCCACCGCAAGTCTGCGATGCGTTTCACATTGTTGTTGCAAAAGGAAATGCGTCTTTACTGTCGTTGAAGGTAACCTGTCACCTTGTGCCCGCCTCCTCCCTCTCCGATCCCCTTCCTCAGCTGCTGCCATCATCAATAGCTTCCTCCTCCTCCCCCCCTTCCACCGAGGATCTCGCCTCTCCGAGCCGGTGTGGACAGCAAGAGCCGTGAGCGAGGGGGTGAGTGAAGTGGAGACTTCGCACAACACTCGCCACCACCGCCGTGGACATTGCGATCGACATCGGCGTAGAAGATGCGTGTCGACTCGGCGGCTTTAATTTATTTATCAGTCAACGAAGACGACGCCTGGGTGGGCACAAAAATCATCAGGTGTGAGGAATGACCGCGACCACTACCCAGTAACCATGCCAACGTCGGGCCAACGTCGAGCCAACGTCGGCTTGTGGTCGAAACCGTTGGCCCGACATTGCCTCAACGTTCCAGGTTCACTAGGTGCACACCAAATGATCAAAGCGTGACTGGACATTTGTGGAAAAGAGCTTCATAGCTTATCAGATTTCTCCAGTATAAATGAATATTATGATTCTCACTGACGAGATGGAATTGACGAGCCTGAATTAAGACGCAGGCTAAGAAAACGTAGTGACGTAATTAGAGACTGCGTGGACTGAGGAATGTGGCGTTTGCCTGTTATGAACACTGTACAGATATATAATAATTACTGAGTTCACTGATTAGCGACCTGATTAATATTGGAGGGACGGGGAGAAATACCCCACACCAACATGTACAAACTAAGAGCATCTGACTAAATGTTTGACTGTTTTAGACCTCTCTGACATCCCCGTGTGCCTTAAAGAAGTGCCATTGCCCGTAATGTCAGCTGTTATTTATTTGTAGTTTTAAGGCCGCAGTGATAAACGTGGTGAGTGTTTGTTCTCCGTGTTTATGCACCACTGTCAACGCAATATCCCCAAACACTTTGTTTTAAATTTGTGAGACTTAAGAGGATGACTGAAAACTTGATTTCCTTGGAAACAGCTTTTTTGTGTTTAGTGTGTAGTCCTTCCCCCACACCTCCGATTGACACGGTTGAACTTCTTTTACACCGTACATAGCCAACCGTGTGAATCGGAGATGCGGGCGAAGATCAATAAACTAAACACAAAAAGGCTGTTTTAAAGAAATTCGTTTTCATTCTAGATTTAAAAGTGCATAGCTTCAGTGGTTTCCTAATATCAGAAGGAAGAGCGTTCCAGATGGCTGCAGAAGCACATCGGAAAGCACGATGCAGAGATCGTCTTTGTTCGATGGCAAGCCAAAAACCGCTACGAGCAGTATTCTCACGTTCTCTTCTAAAAGCACGTTGCACGGGTCAGTAGCTCTCTCAACTCTCTCCTTTAGGACCGTTCTCCGGATCCCTCGCCTCCGAAATTCCACTGCCGGAAACTTCGGCCTGCTCCTATCGACAAGATCGCATCGGCACTCCATGCTCCAACACCTCCAACGCCGCCACCCTCATTCAAACGTGGTTCCGTGGGAAAGCGAATTCCTCCACCTCCGCTGCTACTGACTCTGTAAGTCAGGGATTCCCTCCCCGTCTGCCATTTGTGCTGTTGACTGCCTTTGCCCCTCCATTGAAGCCTCGGATGAAGAACTTCCCAATGTCTCTGCCTCGGTCTCTTTAAACTGATATGTACAGTACGTACGCTTCCCTTTAGTCTCTGATGTACACGTCCCACTCTTTTGTGCAGTGTCTGGAGTTGTGGGTGCTTTTAGAGATTCTCTCAAATTATATTGCGTCGCGTGACAGACAGGGCCGAATTGTAGCCACATGGTTGTATGTGGCCAGTGCATATGTGACATTCCTTGACTAACATCCACTGCCAGCCGGTAGTTTATAATAATAATGACACAATTGCGCAAGAAAGCCTCGTCTTTTTATTCATTATTATCATGAGTAATCTGCTTTATTTTCCCAGAAATCCTTCAGTCTCAAGATTATTTTTTTCAGGGCTCCTCCTAAGGTTCCACATTAGGGGGCGAAGTTGCTGATGCTACTGCTGCTGTGTAGAATCCCAAGTGCATGATTTGCAGGTAACTCTTCAGCATTGGGATGTGGTTCAAGGCCAATCCCAGTTACGTTTCATGTTTTCTTTTAGCAAAGGGAATGAAGTGGACAAGCCGGAACGCACAAACCACACAAAGGAGTGTTACCATGCCGCCCTTGAGGATTGAGAATCACTGAGTCTTGGGGAAAACAGTTTTAGTAATTTGGATGTTTAGTGAATACCATTAATGGGTGCTTGGCATGTGAGGGAAAGCTGAGTACCTGGGGAAAATCCACGAAAACACTCAAAGCTCCGCCCAAGTGGGTTACCATTCCACCAACAGAACCAACACGTCCCATCGATATGTTGGCCCAGCTTACTGCTACACTGCCACCTCCTGGCCATCCTCTTAGCCCGCAACCTCAAACAAACAACAGACGGTGAGCGCCGGTGGTCACCCATCCGATGCTCCGGGTGGTGGTGGCAGCGGCTGTGCACGTGGCCCGCAATCCAGCACTGTCGAGGCGAGGGTCGGTGGATCGCCACACAAATGTCGCAAAACTCCCTTCCCGTGGGCGTCGAGGAGGAGGGCCCGTACCCCGGCTCCCCAGGTTGAATGCAGCACGGCAAAAACGCACGGGATAAAGTGTTTCCCCCTGACATGCGTGGGTTTTCTCGGGGTGCTCCGGTTCCCTCCCACGTGTAAACACTCATTGGTTGGCCGATCACACCTGAATACTGCACGAAGAGGGTCGCAGAACTCGGGCAATTTTTTGGTGCCGGCTCACCGCCCGGCGGCTCAACAAGTTGAAGTGACTGCGTTTTCTGATGAGATTTGACGCATTCAAGGTGAGTCAATCGTCCCTTGCATTGGCTTGACATGGCCGAGTAATGGTGCACTTGCGGCTTGTTGCAACGGTTTGCAGTTCGCGACCCGAGGCCCACCCCGTTAAATACCTGCGGGGTTATTTTACGTAATATATATGCACCATCATCTTCACAGTGGACGTTCGAATTCCCGTGACGGCATTCGGAAAAAAAGAGGAGGCCACGTGTCACGGTGTAAATTTTCCAAAGTGTAAAAACGACAACCACAAATTGCTCAATTGGGAACACACGTGGCCACATCGCCCCCCCCCCCCCCTACTGTACAGACTGTACTCATCTGTGGAACGTCGCGCCCGCATGACATTATACTACTCCTGATTCTATCCGATTCTCCCACGGTAAACACGCGTGACGGGCGCGGCGTGCGATGGCAAACGTCCGGCGACCCTCATCTGCTTCGTCCCTCCGCGGAAACCGTTTCGTAAAATGCCCCCCGCCTGTAACGGTCGGCACGCATCCGGCGCCGTTGGCCGCCCGCTGGCCGCCCGCTGGCCGCCCGCTGGCCACGTCTCCGCGGGAGGCTCGCACGCGCACTTCGACACCGAGCACGCGCGTCGTTGACTGACGGCGCCGCCCGTTCATTTAATTCATGACGGCGATGACGACGATGGCGCGGAGACCCCTGAGCCCCGGGGCCAGCGGTACGCCACGTCAATCGTTGGGCGATCGCTTTTGTCCGTGACGCCAAGCGGACGATGGCCCCCGGGCGCCCGTGGGCGATGGACGTTGTTAGGGACGGCGTCACGCGGTGACGGAGAGGAAATAGCGCGGGCATCTAACGATATCTGCCCTATTCACCGCACCTCCGATGAGCACGGTTGGCTATGTACGGTATGAAATAAGTTCAGCCCTCTCATGCTGTGACTCGCAACTTTAATAGACAATGCACATGCCGGGAAGTATATTGGCAAGCCGCTGCTGCATCAGAGGCTGCTTCCCCGTACTTGTCTGTGAGGGTTATTTGACCATATTTCGGTGCCAGTTGGTGAAGCGTCGGTAGGACTGGTTCAGATCTCGCTCACCACCGATGTTAGTCCTTGCCGGAGAATCAAACTCAGGATGACAGGGTCATAGTACATTGCGAGCGTCACTGCACTCCTCTGCTCCACCAATCAGACATTTAAGCACAGTATTAAAAAAGGGGGAAAATCGGCCTTTAAAACTGAAAAAAAATATTTAGAAAAACCCAACCTCGAAATTTTAGGCAATGTATGATTTAAATCAACACATCTGTAGCTGTGATTTGCTTAGAACATCAAAGCGCTGCTGAGAATTTTAAAAGGTCACGTATTGAATTCAACGTTTTCATGGCCGTAGCGGTGTACAGAGACTGGAGGCGTTTTTGTTCTCCCCCTGTACAGCAGTCAGAGTGCCGGGCCGGCAGTAACGGCCCAGCACTCTGTGTTAATCAGAATCAGAATATCTATAGTGGAGGAATCCGATGAGCTATAAAGCTCTTTTTCACTGATGTCCGGGATGGGCACGGGGTCAGAACGTTACGACAACAAACCAAACAACAACAACACGATAGAGTTGCAAATTATAGGAAAGGTAAACAAATCGCAAAAAAATTACAATTATATTCCCAGGTAATGTCCCGGACGTGCTCGCTGCGTCCATGTGGCTCGCATTATCACTGGAGGCGGCGGCTTTGTAGCCCCCACGTGCCGTGCCACGGCCGTGTGTGGATCGTGTGTGTGGAACGGCCTTGTGGACCGCGTGTGTGTGGAACGGCCGTGTGGACCGTGTGTGTGGAACGGCCGTGTGGACCGTGTGTGTGTGTGAAACGGCCGTGTGGACCGCGTGTGTGGAACGGCCTTGTGGACCGTATGTCTGGAACGGCCGTGTGGACCGCGTGTGTGGAACGGCCTTGTGGACCGTGTGTGTGGAACGGCCGTGTGGACCGTGTGTATGTGGAACGGCCGTGTGGACCGTGTGTGTGTGGAACGGCCTTGTGGACCGTGTGTGTGGAACGGCCGTGTGGACCGCGTGTGTGGAACGGCCGTGTGGACCGCGTGTGTGGAACGGCCTTGTGGACCGTGTGTGTGGAACGGCCGTGTGGACCGTGTGTATGTGGAACGGCCGTGTGGACCGTGTGTGTGGAACGGCCTTGTGGACCGTGTGTGTGGAACGGCCGTGTGGACCGTGTGTGTGGAACGGCCGTGTGGACCGTGTGTGTGGAACGGCCGTGTGGACCGTGTGTGTGGAACGGCCGTGTGGACCGTGTGTGTGTGGAACGGCCGTGTGGACCGTGTGTGTGGAACGGCCGTGTGGACCGTGTGTGTGTGGAACGGCCGTGTGGACCGTGTGTGTGGAACGGCCGTGTGGACCGTGCGCGGCGCTTCCAAGGTGACCTCGCCGCTTTCAAAAGCCCCCGCGTGCAATTTACCGAATCGGCGAGGGTACGCGAAATGTCAGCCTTGTGACGTGAAAGTGCGCTGGCATCTTCCTCAAAGACGATCCATACACTTGCTGGAAGGTGACGAGAAACGCGGCGGTCAGAAAAAGCCCCGCAGGCTGTAAAATGAATGAGAGTAATGAGTATATAATAATAATTGCAGTCATTCGATTTAGGTTGAATTTTTTTACTTTAAGAAAGGCACCATTGAGCTGTTAGGCCTTATGTCACTGGCATCCTGCGGCTGTACAGATATTACACAGTACAGATCTTAGTGACGCAAGCATGGTTACATGATGGTGATAATAACAACAACATGCAAAAAGTGATTATATATTGACGTCAACAGGCGCGGTTGTGACAGGTTGGATCGGTCTTCTCCATCATGCCTTGCATGTCACAAGACATCGACATACTGTGTGTGTAATGTATGTGTGTGCGTAATCTATGTATGTGAGGGGGCGGCGGTAGTGTAGCGGTTAGTGTGCTGCTCTATGAACCCGGCGGACGCTCACGGCCGACACCAGTGACGATTATCTGAACCGCTCCTGGCTCTCCCCTAGGTCGACTCAGCCTCGAATGAGTACCCGGTGTGGTGTGAACATCACCACTGGGGGAGACAAAGGCGGTCGGGCGTGGTGCTGGCCACCCACCCGCTCGTGTGCCGTGCCGGCCTTCATAGGTGCTCGCTAACAGCACTTGCCCCAAAGTGGGGATATTTGTCTTTGTACTTGAAACTTCTTTCGCCCCGTATGCAGCCAACCGCGCAAGTTGGAGGTAATGTGGCCAGCCATTACATTGTTAAGACCTCCATTGCGTTGCAGTGGGTGCTATTACCGGCATCGTGTCATGGGCCAGAGAATCCATTCGTAAATCTCCCAGAGTGCTGTCGCTGCGGTTTTGTTTCGCGAGCGGCCACAGGAGACATTTCTCGCAGGGCCTCTTCCCAGAGCCTCCTTCAAGAGGCCGTTTTGTTGTCTGCACAGTAGGGGGCGCACCATCTCACACGCGACCACATTTCTGCTCAGAGATTGTCACATTTACGGTACTCTTCGAGATGGAATTTAACCAAATCAAGTGCAAGACCACCAGTGTTACTGTAAGAAGGCGTGTGTGTGTGTGTGTGTAGCTGTGCTACGGGACCCGGCGAGTCGAGTTCGATCTCCACTCGCGGCCAACACCAGTGACGATTATCTGAACTGGCCCGCGGCCTCCCCTAGGTCGAATCGGCCTCAAATGA